TTTTGTTCTGCACGCCATTACCTCATGCAGATATATGTACTGGTATATTATGTACTTGCTGTTGACTTAGATACTAGACAGTATTAATTATGGTAGGAGTCATTTAAATCTGTTCGATCCCTGCATTGGCCGAGAAAGTTCATCCAGATTTTCCGACGTGGTTCCCCCTTGTCAGTGGTGCAGAACAGAGGGCCTGACAAGGACAGCTGTCTAATCCTTCGGATGAGACGAAAATCCGAGGTCCCGTGTATATATTGGAATGCACGTAAAAGATCCCCTGGCAGTTGGAATTCGATATAAGAGTAGGCGATAGTGCCGCTGCCCGGGCAAAATTTCACTCATAGCTCACTGTATGGCGTATGCCCGTCTTCATTAGCCCAGTATAGGAGCAGAACAGTAGGACATTAAACCCCATTTCATTTCATTTCATTTAAATCTATCAGAAAGGAGTTAGTCAACTTACTATAAGGGGGTTTTCACCTACTTTTAAAAAGGCAAATGATACGGTTCGGAAAACAACAAACAAAAAACAACTACGCATTAACCGATATCTCATATAGAGGGTATCAGCAACGATGTTCTAAATTAGTAATCGTATTGTTTTTGTTTCATTAATTTAAGACATTTTTAAAAAATAATCTAAAATGTTGTAAATATCCTATTTGAACTTTTGAAATTTTCTACAGTTTGTTTGGCAAATCTTGAAATTCATAATTTATGCCTATTTTCTAGGAGTCTAGCTCAATCAACCACTTATCAATACACTGTCGGGTTTTCTTCTGGAAATTATTCTTTGGGTTCTAACAACTAGCCAAGATTGGAGGCCCGCGGGTGCTATATTAAGTGCCCGTCTTCTAAGACGACGGAGGCAGGCCGCCATTCAATTTCACCATCTCGGTACCCACAAATTGTAGTTCATCTATTTATATCAATACCCATTTTTGTTGATTTTTTGGTCTAGAATGGACGAAGAGGGTTTGAATTAACATTTTCTGCCAGAGTTATCAGATTGGTTACGGTGATATGTGCGGCAACTAGTTACATGTTTTAGTATGCTTTTTCAAGTTTGTGTATCTCAAAAAATTTTGGTAGTCAACCTCATACAATTTTAGTGCAAAGATATGACCATTTGTTCCTGTCTGTAGTGAAAAGCATTCAGCCCAATGAAAATTTTGGGAAAAATTGGAGGTGGGCAAAGAGGCCAGAATTAATATTGAAGTCAATGGGGAAATTAATGCTGGTCTGCCTCCAGACATTATTACATTAATCTCAAAACCAGTGGTAGTTACGTATCTTGGGTTTTTTTATTTTGATTTATTCAAGCAATACCGGTTAGTCCCTTGTTTCTTATTCTGAATTATTCAAGCATGACTAGTTAGCCGCATAGGGACGGGAAACATTTTGCCTTTTGCTCCTTAATATCGGAATAAATTTCATCCGAATTCGGTTGGTGGTACTTATTCAGATTTTCACAAATGAATTTGTTTGTCTCAATGGAGACTGGCAAGTGCACCTCTAGAACACGGTAAAGTGACATCATTTTGTCACACATCATCTGGAATGGGAGTGTATATTTTGGTATCACTATCCGAATTCGGTTGGTGGTACTTATTCAGATTTTCACAAATGAATTTGTTTGTCTCAATGGAGACTGGCAAGTGCACCTCTAGAACACGGTAAAGTGACATCATTTTGTCACACATCATCTGGAATGGGAGTGTATATTTTGGTATCACTATGCGCCTGGAATTACACAGAACAATTCAAAACTGGACGAAAATAATGACTTTGAAACTAAATAATTAAGAAATAACCAAGCAGATGTCAGGATTGTACAGCTGGAAGCTTTATAAATCAAAACACAAAAAAACTGACTCTGTAACAGATGCCCTGATACACGCCAACCATTAAGACTTACAATCTGAAAAAAAAATAATCATAAGAATGTCAAAATGTTGAAAACAATCAGAAATTTTGCTTCATGGCCAACTTTCACGGTAGGTGTATAATGAACCACATTAGTGACAATCAAGAGTCATTGCTATTACATTTCTCTCATGGCGTGAGAAACAAGAAGCATTTAATTTGACTAAATGTATCATAATGCAAACACATAGCCTACATAATAATATGTCTACAGTGAAATAGACTTTCGTTAGGGCTGCAATCAAGGAATGTAATAAATAATTCCAGAATTCAGAAAATTTGATGAAACAATTAATGATAAAGCAGAGTGACTAAACTAGGGCTGTGTTAGACACTGTTTGTTACACTGATTTAAAGAAATTTCAATTCCTGAAACATTGATGAAACAAATACGTGATCGATGCCCGAAAAATGTACAAGCAAAATGTATAAAGCAGGGTATATTAATAATCCATAGACAGTTCAGTGCAAATAAAAGAAAGTATAAGTGTTTAATAATATCACGTAAATTGTCCCTATCGCACTGAACCGTCTACAATAGGTTAAATATAGATTGTCCCGAAAGTATTTATCGGGTGGTTATTTCCAATAAAAGTATGGCAAATTTGGTATATATGCAAAGTACAGACACCCGATCTTCCTAGAAAAATACTGGATCACCCGAAAAACACCTATGGAGGAAGCACTCGGCAAAAATGTCAGGGTATCACTAACTGCCAACCCGACTGTTGTCTGTCAGCTTATTGTGTGCTAGCTTGACTGATGAAGCGGTTGCTATGTCTTGATCAAATGGTTAGGAGATTTTGGGAACATTTAGGGGTGTCAGCGTACAAAGGACTCTGCAATTAAGTTGACAGAAAATAATCAAGAATTTACTTATGCCTCATTTTGTATGGTAAATTAACAGTAAGTAATGAAAAATATATTCGGAAAAAATGGACCCTCCATCAAAGAAACGAGGTGATAGACATGATGGCCTCCAACACCAGTTTATTTATAGCTTGAGGCATCTCCACGCGTATACAAAGGTTTGAAAGGGGTATGAAACAAATTTTTGATAGATTAGTTAGTTTGAATATGGTTTTAGTCCAAATATATCATCAAATCACATAGTTTGTACGTGGGAAAGTATCTTTAACTATACAGTAATAACGTACTAGATTTCAGGCACTATATTTTGCTGACTGGAAGGCAAACTAATTGTTTCGCAAAAATATTTACAATGTCAATATACTAATCTTCTTTGTCTGAATTTAAACAGACCTGAATTACCGATGATAGCTGTTTTTTCTTCACTCTTTAAACTCATTTCTGTATTGTTTAATGCCTTTCTCCCTATGTACCATGCTTCTAACTTGTCCTTTACTGCATAGGATAAATTGACGATATTCACCCTAGAGGCCTCGTCACTCATAGTAGTATTAAGCATCACTGGTTCTGACGACCCATAATAAGCCACCGGGTCACGTAACAGAGCAGTAGTTTCCATTTTGAAATTTTCTAGAATAACGTAGTAATAATTAGTGCTTTCGCTGAATGAAATTTGATGTCACAGATTTTAATTTCAAAATCAGTGCAAAATACACTTCCACACAACCTCTGTATATATGTTCTTTAAATCTAATGTTTGTACATTCTTTAAACATATTTTGTAAATAACGTACTCCTCTTTATTACACCTTTGTATCTATGGAAAGAGCTGATATAGGCTTCAAGCATTTTGCTCAATCCCATTCGTTTATGATTAAAATATTGTTTAAATCAAAAAAATTTAAAATTAAGCTCATAAATTTATAAAATTTCCATTACCATGTTCTCGTGTAAATCTTTTAAAATATACTATTTTATTAGTCTAATATTCAGTGCATGTTTTACAGCAATTAATTGTATTCGTCAATCCAGACAGTTTGGAAAGTTCTTATCGATTAAAAGACGCCTTATCACCTTTGTTATATTTTATTTGGATCAGAGACTTACTTACCTTACACTGTTCAACTGCAACGAGGATTACATAGGCCAACCGTCCTCCAGTAACTAGGTTTTTCCGATTTTAAACGGCCTTTAGTCATTAATATCAATCATTTAATATTAATATCATGCGCCACTGATTGAAATGCAATTATTTCTTTAAATGTAGTTAATCATACATATAATATAATACAATGGGTCCGCATGTATTATATTAATTACGTTTAATTAGCATATTTATTGAAAACTAAGATACTAATCTACTTCATTTGTATTCGAATTCGTGAATGTAGACGTACAGTTCGTACGTTAGAGATTTACAGGTTTTCTTTGCCATACATTTGGTAAGTCATTTAATCTGCGTAAACATCTTTCTTTCTTTTTTTCAATTCACTTGCTTGTTTTTGTCGTGTACACATTACGGAATCTGCCCATTGCTGGTCTTTCTTTTGGCCTCAATAGACATTTATTCATACAAGCCCATAATCAATCCTCCTAGACCCTCGGATGGTCGTGTTTTGCAGTGGACTGATAAATGGTCGCCATTGAATAATTTAATTTAAAATGAAGAATCGAGATTTTGCTTATTATCGTAGCAATGGTACTTACCAATCGAGACTATATTGTAAACACTTCAAGGCCTCATAACTTCTCCCAGAAACTAGTAATTTGACTGATTTTTTCAATAGATTTAATTTAATAATTTAATTTAAAATGAAGAATCGGGACTTTGCTTATTATCGTAACAATGGTACTTAACAATCGAGACTATATTGTAAACACTCCAAGGCCCCATAACGTCCTCGCAGAAACTAGTAATTTGACTGATTTTTTCAATAGATTTATTTTTCATTATCTGTTTTTGAACTATTATGGCAAGAACGGCCAGCTCTTTATCGAAATCTTACATTATGCATCTTTAACCAACGTAGAAAAATCCTAAAATGTCATTCCTGAGAAAGTGGGGAATAGCAATAATCATTACCATTACAGCCGATATTATAAGATTAGATATGAATGGATTTTAATCTTCAGTATATATTGGGGCTTTTTTCAGAATAACCGTGATTTAAGAGCATTTTGATCAGTATTGAAGACAATCCAAGATGGCGTCTACTTACGTCATAGATCCGGAAACTCGACACCAATCAATTAATATCAACGTGACAAACCTAACCTATGCCATTGATGAAGTTGGGTCACTACCAATTTGGAAGACAAAACTCCCATTTTACAAATCTAAAGCCACGGAAAATGAATTTAAATCTAAGGTGATACTCAACAACGTATCATTTACAGTTAACAGTGGGCAGATGCTGGCCATCATGGGTTGCTCAGGTAAGATATACAATCGGTATTCTAGTGTTGATACTTGGTACTCCCAAACCCGGAAACAATAAACCACATGTTTGTTTGTTTGTTTAGATATTTAGGTTAACAGTGTTCTAATATAGTGTTTATAAATTACCATTTTATTTCATGGTCTCGAAAAGCCTTATAATACGTCTTTAAACACTATAATAGTTTGCAACTATTTCACACGTTGTCTCAACCCTTCCGATATCGGTTACGTAGCCAAGGGCGTGGATTTGTCATAACTTTGGGGGGGGGGGGGGGGCGGACGAACCCTTGAACCTGGAACATTTCATTACCAAACGAAACAAATAAATTAAAAACAGTTTACTGAACCAGTGTTATTTCGATGAAGGCTGTATCTAGGGGTGACAATATGGAAAAATTGACTACCTACTTCAAAGCTGCATAAATATATGAAGTTAAGTGAATCGTTCTACGACCAGGTCTGTTCTCTTTGGATATCTTGGCGACATAAAGGGGCTCATTATGCACCGCACACGCCCTCAAGTGGTTCAGTCAGTTTTGCGTAATGGAGTTGCGCAGCCAAGTTTTGATACGGCGCAGAACTAGCAGGGTTCAGCAGTGTGAGATGGGAAGAGTTTCGACAGAAGGGAACATCTGCCTCACTTCAGGTGGCATAATGAGGAACCTATTCGTCCCCCCCCCTAAATCCACGCCCATGTACGTAGCTAATCTAAAATGAGTTTCTCCATTTCAGAATAAAATTAGGAACTTTCCTCATATGGCCTGTTTTTGGTCTCAAAAAGTCTTATACCGCGTTTTTTAACGCTCCAATATTATACAACTATTTCACACACTGTCTCAACACTTCCCATACGGTTATGTTACGTAGCTACTAGCTAAAACGGGTCTCGCCATTTCAGATTAAAACTAGAAATCTTTCTCACATGGCGAGTCTAGTTGCTGCTGTAACTCCATTTTCCCGAAGTCATGCACAAGACTTTGCATTTTGACTACTGATCAGGATAGATAATTCTTAGTGTTAGGATTTCTTTGTTGAACGTATTAACCATTGCAAGGAATCACCTGGTTCTATCGTGTTCTTTGTTTTCAGGAAGCGGTAAAACGTCCCTGTTAGATGTTCTAGCGTGCAGGAATATGGGAGGAGAGGTGAGAGGGGATATAGAACTAAACGGTGTTAAACATACCCGGGGGATGATCGAAACATACTCGGCTTATGTTCGACAAGATGATCGACTTCTACAACATCTAACTGTTAAAGAGACTCTAATGTTTGTTGCTCAACTTAAACTACCAACTCGTTTGTCTACTCGAGAAGTGCAAAATAAGGTGAATTGGTGATTTTGTTTTTAATTTCTTGATTCCTTCAGTAGTGGGTCAGCGGTGGATTATAGCTTGTTCTAGAGAAATAGAGTACGAATGAGTGTGTACCGTTTTAAACAAATTCAACACCACTTATGAGTACCAAAGTCACTTACTAAAGTGTGAATGGTAAAGTCATTTGTATTACAAGTTGGCCAATTCCACGTATGTTACGAAAGGTTATATCAACACAATCTAACTAAAGTCATGACAAATGTGAACCATATTTATACTATATGCAGGTGGATGGTGTAATAGCAGAGTTAGGATTGAGTCATGTAGCCAATACAAGGGTTGGTGGTGTGGATATTAGAGGTATATCAGGTGGTGAGAGGAGAAGAGTCAGTATTGGTGTACAGCTACTACTCGATCCCAGTAAGTGATGATATAATTGTTTCCATGTGAATGCAGTCATTTTCTTTCTCTGACGCAATATAAATAGAAGATCATAGATGCCGAATCCATTTATGCAGTATTTACTATAGATAAACAACACTGCCATTTCTTGGGCAGATAATTGTCACAATGTGCAAATGTTCTAAGGGCTGATAAATTGATTTGTTGGTACCATACACGTAACTCCAAACCAAAACTAACATATATTATTCTCTCATCTAGGTATATTATTCCTAGATGAACCAACTTCTGGACTGGATGCCTTCACGGCTAATCACATGGTTCAAACACTCGCTAATTTGGCCCGTAATAAACGAACTGTTCTTCTGTCTATACATCAACCGAGGTAAGTTGGCTTCATTACCCCCAAAGTTTGACTTTGCTTACATTTGCGTACCAGATTACATATAAGATGTATATTCCAAATGTTCATTGTACTGGATGACAAAATGTCACGGTGATAGACGTATGTCAGTACTTACAATATACTCTTCAAAAAAGGTAGACGATATTGAAATGCAAATACCTATGCAGGTTGTCATATGATACATAGTCATGGACACTTGACATGCTTTGAGAGTATGTTAAACAGATGAAGAACTTATCGCCCCAACAGAACCACTGAGCTGCACATGCGACACGTAATAGCGCCATACACGTGGAAGGGGTTCATTGTCAAATTTGACACTTCAAGGAAGGGTTGATGAAAACTGCCGCTTGCTGGTTTATCCTATCCATGATTGCTTTCCTATCGGTTCTTGCATAAGATTTACTGTTTAGCGTATCTTTGCTTTAGTGTGTTCCGTTTAATTTGATGGGAGACGTGTTCGTCAACGTTAACCGACAACACTGCAAAAATTGGCCGTGACACTGCAAGAGGAGTGGGTCTGATTGCCCCAAATCGTGATTTGACGGTTGATTAGGAGCATGCCACGAAGATTTGCTGAATGTCTGAGGATTGGTGGAGCAATTACTCATTATTAAGACAAGACACAAAAACTCCATTTTCACTTTTGACAGTGTATCTCTTTGCGAGTGAAATGGGGCCGTCAGATAAGCCGCCAATATGAACTGTTTATGTTCATGTGTAGACAATTGGCCTGTTATAAACATACACTGGTTACCTCTAATAAAAACAGCAGTGCATTTCCGCAGTTTTGTAATGTTTCTGAATATCCCCTATTTTTTTAAGAGTATATGTATACATACCATTTATCGTTTATCGCAATCTAAGAATGAACAGCCATGGTCAATGTTCGGATTGATCGTGGTATCTCAAGTATTGCTAGTTAGTTGGTATAATATGTAAATAACTACTTTCGTCCTGTCCTATTCAGTGCTAAGGGGGGGGGGGGTAATTGGTGAAATACCTTAGTGGCCAAAATGTCTTATGTTAAAAACGAATATGCTTATTCGGCTGTTATAACAAGTATTATATAGTAGTGACACATCTGTTGTGACTCACCTGGTAGCTGTAGTTATTTTAACTCAATTCACTAATCTTTAAAGCTACATTATGCATAAATCGGAACATTGCAGGTCTGGCTTCAAATGTTATATAAATTATTATTTAGACATTTATTCACATGCAAAACTCATAATCAACAATTTAACCAATCGGGTGGCCAATATATATTGCATGGATTGGAGCACACGCGTTATTTAATAGTTTAACGTTAAGTGGCATATATAATAAGCAGAACATGCTTGTTACCATTGCTTTTTGAATATTGCATATGGTTCGTTACTGTTATTTTAGAATTGAATAATTTAGTTGAATGAGATATAACTATTATATATTTTAGAACGGATATATTTGAACTGTTTGACTTGGTTTTGGTGTTATCTGCTGGTAAAACCGTGTATTTTGGGGAGGCAAAGCTGATGGTGGACTATTTCACAACACTGGGATTTCCTTGTCCCGAACTTACAAACCCCTCTGATTTTTACCGTAAATATCAATTTAATAATATGTATATCCATGTAAACCATATCGTCGAAATATTTTAAAAGGAATCGGCATTCGAGCCCGATTGTTTTCTTTTAAGAGAATATGAGATTCGATGGAAATAGCCATAATCCACTCAAAGCTCCCGGCAGTTTTGTCATCAATAATGGTGTTTATTTAATTTAAGTTCGACGGTCCTGTAATAGTGCTGTGAATTAGTGTATGTCATTGTTAGCGGTTTAAAAACAATAAGCTTGAACTTGTCCTTTGGACCCTACGAAAATGTGGTATTTGAGTATTTCTATCTGTTCTAGTGGATTTAGCGACAATAGATGTGACATCGGTTGAAACTGAACAGACGACATCGGAGATACTGAAGAACCTCGTTATAGCCTTTGAGTTAGATAAAACAACTAAATCTGAACTAGAAAGCCTGGAACACAGCCACCAAACGCAGGTTGCCACTTTAGCTGGCTCCATGGACAACAATTCTGGTTACCCCGGTTTCTTTAGACAATTCCAGGTTCTTTTCAGGTAATAGTCATAAAATAAATGAAAAGAAATGTGGCTTAACGCCCTACTGTTCTGCTCCGAGTCATAACATAAAGTCTTTTTTATAATATGAAATTAACAAGCCTTATAAATTGGAGCAAATGTGTGCTTCCCCTCTTTTCTTGTTAATGTCTTAGATTTGCCATTTAAAAAATGTTTTTTTTTGTCATTGATTGGAAGGAATGGTGATATCTTTTCAGGCGCCATTTTAGAAACATTGTCATCGATTACTGGTTTTTAATTGTGCAGATCATCCAATCTTTAACAATGTCTACTATATTAGGCTCTGTGTTTTGGAACCTGAGTAAGGATCAACTGGGTATGCGAGACAGATTCGGATTATTTTTTATGATGTGTGTTATGTATCCATACACAGTAACACTTGACGTCATTGGACAGAGTAAGTGACTTGACATCTGGTCTATGAAAGTGTAAGAAACTATCAGTCTTTCCTTCTGTTGTCTCAAATTAATATTGTTCTAAGGCAGTGCTTCCCAAGCATTTTTCACTCGCGTATCCCCTGGGACTGGACTCCCAAATCTACATTTACTCTGTTCAATCAGATTTAAGAGCCTTAAAGGCTTAATACCACTCTTGTTGTAACTGAATAATATGCCCCAATCTTTATTCTGGTCAACAAATTGTACTATTAATTGATAATACAAATTTCATCTTAACACACCTTATTTAGAAATTTTGAAAAATTCAACATAATGGTTTGAAACGTCTAACGTAAACCTTTTCAAATGAAACTTCGATTTAAAAATATTTTCGAACCCTCTGGACAAGTAAAATCGGATGTAATGGATAATTTACACAACAGGTAGGACACTTAAACATCTAGTACTAGATATTATTTATTTTCTAGAGCTTTCAAGCCAGCAAGAGTGTTATGGTCCCTTTAAGACTATCACTTTTCTAACAAATCTTTGAAAAACCTAAAATATGACTCTGAATACCATAAAGTATAATGTAACACAACATAGTTAAATGGATATCAATCACTATATTAGATTCACACGACAAATGAAATGAAATGAATTTTCACGTCCTATTGTTCTGCTCCGAAGGGCATTCGTCATACAGGATGCTGTGAGGAAACTTTTGCCCAGCCAGCGGCGCTATGGCCTATTTTTATAGCGAATCCCAACTGCCACGGGTTCTTTTACGTGCACGCCAATTTGTACACGATACCTAGGTTTTTCGTCCCATCCGAACGGCTATATATCTATCCCTTGCTAGGTCCTCCGTCTTGCACCACAGACAAGGGGAACCACGGCGGAAAATCACGATGAACATTCGCGGCCAACACCTGGATCGAACACGGGACCTCCTGGTTAGCAGGCCAATGTCGTACTTACTGCGTCACTGTTCCTTCCATTTTCAAGCATTCAAAATGTCCAAATACCAACAAATTCATCTTTTCCCCGCGGAGCTCCTACGAACCCCTTTGACTTCGCGGAACCACGTCTTATCGTGGACCTCAGTTTACCAAACATTGTTCGAAAGCGAAACATTGAATATTTACATTAAGTAATTCTAAATTTAAAGAGTTTATAATAATAATGGTAAATACGAGACGGCACTTGAAACAAAATAATATGTCAGAAATTATGAACTCGTGGTCCGGTACTTTCACCAAGTATTATATTCAAAATTTACACTCTGCTTGCATAATTGCCTCTAGATCCATCCGTGGATGATGTCTTATTGCAAATGGTTGTAGCTTACAACTTCATTCAATGTGACATTTTAATGTTTAGGCTTTGTCACTAATATATGGTTTGTTCATGTATGGTTATGCCTATTGTTAAGCAGTTTGAATGTGCATGGAAGAAAATATATGATATTCGTTTTGAATACATACTTTTACATTATTCTTTCTTTAGGTCATCGAGAACGTCACCATCTCTATTTTGAACTACAAGATAAGTTATATGGGCATTTTGCGTATAACATGGCAAAGGTATGCAAGGCTTTTTTACATGTTTTAGATTGGACTCAATTTTCCTCCAGTGTACTAGTTATGTCCCTTTGCAGTTACTTCAAACATTGGCTGGTCTTATTTTGAACGCTTAATTATGTAATTTCATTTCCACAGAAGTGAGAGAGAGAGAGATGGGGTTAAACGTCCACTCGACACAAACTAGGTCATTTCGGGACTAACGTATGGTTTTAATTTAATTTCAATAATTCGCTTGCGCGTAGGGGTATTTAGCAGTGGGAGGAAACCGGGGGACCCGGAGAAAACCCACGAGGTTGGACAGGCGACCCTACTCCTTGTCACGTACATCCGGGGAATCGAAACCACGCCAGTTGACTCAATGACAGACTTTATGATACAGCGCGCACACGCTAACCATTCAACCATCCCCCCCCCCCCCACACACACAGAAGTTGCATTTACTAAATATTGAGAAACTTAAACATACACTATGCAAGAGCTAAATCTGCCTATTGCAGGTCTTTCTTTAGGCTTGAAATGTTATATAAACTATTAATTAGACATTTATTAACAAAACAAGACCATAATCAACTTTCGATGGCATGGGATACTCGAGATTTTAACTAGATTAAAACGGTTCGCCATTTTAAAATATAATTCCCGATTATACCAGTGCCCTGGTTACCACTGTGCACGTATCTTGTCAAAACTACAAACAATGATAACTTGGCTAAGAATTAAGTAATTTGAATGAAATTTTCAATATTTTCTTTTTTCATCTATTTTTGAATTATTATAGCAAGAATGACCAACTCTTTGTTAAACTCTTAACTAATGTATCTTTAAATAACCCGTGTTGAATTTGTGTTGTGTTTTCATTTCCCAGAGATTTTACCACACTTTAATTTTAATTTTATGTTTTATAATTTATAATTTTACGCACCCGTGAGATAAAACAATGTTTTATTTGTTGGATTTTGTAGGTTTTAGCCGAGATACCGTTCCATGTGTTATTCTGTACAATATATTTTACGCCAGCATATTTTATGGCCAACCTAGAGAAAGATGCTGGGGTATTTTTTACTATGTATGGTGTGGTTATTCTGTCGGTGTACGCTAGTAAAAGTGCCGCGTCATTTGCCGCTAATTCACTACCCAATTACCAACTTTCCAGTATAACATCTAATACATTACTGGCGATATTTGCACTCAGTGGTGGATTCTTCATTAACCTGGAAACCCTGTTCTCAGGTAAATTCTTGTAGCCTGTCCGTCATCCAAGCGCTAGATGTTCGATCTGTCTGTGTATGTTTTAGGTTGCCATTCCAAGAAAGGCTTTGGCTTACAATATCTTCATTTAACGTACCGGTGGTAGTTGGTTATTTAACGTCTGCTTCCACAGTCGTGATATCGCAGATGAACTTATGATGTCATAAGTTGAAAGTGTCGCAACCAGTGTCCGATTTCAGTAAATAATATGCGCGGTTTATTCGTTATCTACACCCAAAGCAAATAAGTCGCCCGACAATCCTTTCGCATTAAAGGTATCAATATCGTTTGCAATCACTACAAGTGATCAAGGGGAAAATCCCATGAAGTAAGTATCCGATATAGTTACACAAGTCAAACAGAATAACATCAGCTCCTAGAGGGCAATAAACCGATGGCTTTAAAATGAAAATTTCGGTGGATTTACTGTATTTAAAACATTATGTTCTGATAAGTCAATGTACACAATTTAGTGTATAGAATACTTTTTGTTTTCGACCAAATCGACACTGAAATACTGTCATCAAAATGTGGAGGTTAATTCTTTCTTTTATTTTTGTAATTTACAGTACATGTCTTTCTTTACAGGACTCAAATGGGTTTCTGACATTTCTTCAATCAGGTGGGCGTTTGAAGCCATTAGTGTAACTGGTTACCAAAACCTCAACTTTACATGTGGGCAAATCGATCCCAAATATTGTGTGCGAACGGGTGAAGAGGCGTTGGAGATGTATTCGTTTGAAGATGGGAAAGTCTGGTTGTCAGTTACTGCTCTATCAGGAATCATTCTGACATTCCAGATTTTAGCCTTTCTTTCCCTTCGGTTTGTGTCTCAGAAACCATATGAATAACAAATTAATACAACGGGAGTTATGTACGGAACCTAACTGTATTTTGATTTTAAAACTGAACGATTTTATTAAATGGTTGCTCTGTTATCCTATTTTTACACATTCTTTAAGCCACTTTAAATTGATAAAAATGAGGAACTTCCAAAGCCTTTTCATGTTGTGGCAATAAAACACATCTTCACAGTTCAATGAAAGAATATAATTGTGTTGACATAAAGGAATTACATATACGGAGTGCATTTGAGGGCGGCGACATTTGCACTTTATATGTACAAATAAGGATTACAGTCAAATACAGTCTTGCTGTGGATTTAGGTTAAATGGGAGATAACTCTTTCGTGACATCAGGGCCAGACTAGCAATTATCTCCGACATTGACTTTAATATTACGTCCATACCTAAAAAAACATAAAACATTCCTATGGTCTTAATCTTTATAACCATAAAGACCCCAACGTGTCACATAATATAATATTGAATCTATAGGCCGTGGCGTCATTTCCATTCATAATTCCATAAGTCATTATCTCCTTGTCCTTACACCACCAAATCACGAATATTCACCAACACCAAGCAGAAATAGTCAGGCAATAGGTGAAAAAGATGAACGGAGAGAAGTACATTCGTATATCTAGGGAAGTAATTACTAGTCTTGGCCCAGGTTACACATTATTATTTTTTGATAATTTACCTCATTGTATTTCGATTTATTAAATAATTAATGCGTATTTCTGTTCAAAAATGCGTTTTCTACAAGTGGGTATTAAAACCATCATCTTGTGAAATTCTGTTGGCGCATTACACATGCCAAAGGGTTTTGTGACCTCCGAATGTGGAGGATTATATGTTTTGACTTTTTAACATTGCTGGGGATGTTTGATCGGAGATAACTCTTTATTGACAGATTACACATTATTATTTGTTTTTATAATATTATATCATGGCACTCGATTTGACCAAATTGGTTAATAATTCGTAATATGTTTAGAAATGTCATACTCCCTTCTGCATTATCCCAGTCGGTGCAGAAAAGTAGTACAATAAACCCCACTTCATTTATTTGCTATACTAAAATCTCCATTTTCTGCACTGTTTTAAGGAATGCCGAATCCTGGTATATGTACATTTATGAAATGAATCTTGTCATGTTAACAATGCAATTTTTAACTATGTGTATGAAAACGGTTATACGATGTTTTACGGGTTATTATTTATCTTCAGTATGTAGCAATTTCAGTTACTAGAACTTGAAGTAATTTATGCTTGATTAAAAAATATTTTAACAGTTATATATACATTTGTATTTTTCAATTAATATTTTAATTGTCTGACTGATATTTTGATTATAATCTTATTGCCTATATTTTATATATTTCATTGTGTGTTGTGTTTTCATGGCATTGGAGTGCACGAAAAAGAAACCATTATCGTTGAACTCTACAGAAGAGTATGTCCGGGCAAAATTTACTGTATAGGGTATGCCCATCTTCACTAGCCCAGTCGATGCATAAAAGTAGGACGTTAAACTCCAATTCATTTCATTTTTTTTAGTTTGGTTCATGAATACTTTCCAATGAATGCCTTTGACAACAGATAACAATGTATTCTGGATAAATTTTATAACTCAGTAATATGTAACCAGCGCATCCCTTATAGAAAAAAAACAGTATATAAGTTTAAACCTCCCGACGTCAAAAGTTCTAAGTTTAGACCTCCCGTCATCAAAAATTCCAAGTTTATATTGATTTATTGGATTTCCTTTATTGTATGTCGGCTGTGTGTTTCATATAACCCCACCCTCGTCCCAACCGGTATCTCATTTAGGTAGTTCACATAGATAATAAATTTTGTTGCACTTGTCTGTCAAACTTTCTTTCGTGTTTTATGAGATCTGGCATGTAACATTTACAACGTAGACCTACTATGTTTGACCCGTCTCAGTTGTGTCGTGTACATATAGCTTGAGTGATTAATCCAACGTGTAAATCGAACATTATCTAGTCATCTTTTAGTAAATCCATCAATAGAGGCCGTAAATCTTCACCTACCAGCTTGTCAATAATCCGCGCATCAAGCACGTCGCCTCCAATTTCCAACCTCTCCATCGTCAGCCATTTTCCAATACTTCTGCAGACGCTTGTTTCAGCCGTCTGCTATGTTACTAAGCAACGCCCGGGACCATGTATTACGTCCCTGGATTTTCTGATAAAATATCAACCCACGCAATTTCTGCTGTCGAACAAGTTGACATAGTCCAGATCAATCGATATGTCTGTTAACACGATTGCATTGGAAAGAAAGCGACTGGATGGAACTAGACTACGCAACAGTGTATGAAATATTTTTTTATTGAGGAGTTGGTATGGTAACGAACAAAGCAGTTATTTACAAAGCTGATAAAAAATAAATCTCAACCGTTAACTGTAAAAATTGTGGAATTAATGAACATTATTCCTACGATTATATTAGATAAAAGTTGTTAATTAAAATCTAAATGAAGAAAAAGAGATTATGACGTCCAAGAATTATGCGTTGGGCAGAAGAAACTGACTTTTCATTCATTCAATGATTAGTGACGGAAGGTGTTCGATGATTCACGCGATGAGTCATGACATCATCAAATTAGCCATAGATAACAAGTAACCAAGCATTTCCTGTTCTCCATATATCCTGACATTAAAAATTAAATAACGATTATTTATTTTTAACTTTTATGTCTGAGCTTAGGAAGGAACATGTATCCTAGTAAAATGGACTTTTAAATTATATTTTCTTTACCTATCAATGCTGTAAGCTTTAAGAGAGGCCTAGGAGCTATTTCAGTGTGCGTATGTGTGTGCGTGTGTGTGTGTTAGATGCATGAATATTTTATATTTATTCATTTTAATTTATACTCATTTGTGTGCATTGATTTATTTTCCATGATGCTCCCCATTTTTATAATAGGGTTCAGTTATCAAAGAGCAAGAACTGATTTCTTTAAAATTATCTATTTCTTTATAGTTACAATTATTATAATAGGATCCGACCGAAACGCATTGG